TAACTGTGTGAATTAAGTGAATCAAGAGTTACCATCCCCACATGTCCCAGCCCGATCGCTTCGCCCCGCCAGCTCTGGGACCCTTATCACTGACGTCAGGGGTCCGAGCCTTGTCAGCGCCAGCCCCCTCTCCTGCGGGCACACTTCCTGACCACACCACAAACACCCTCTGCCCACATGTTCAAACCTCACCGTGCAGCAGACTTGTTTTAAATGGCCTTCGATTCATAACCTATTTCTTTCCTTTATTCATTTCGCTGTGCAGTTTTCCTGCTCACTGTAGTTTTTCTACCCTACTGCACTGCACATCCGCCACAGCTAACAGCAATGCCTCAGACTCAACACACATCTGCACTTTTTGCACGATCTAGAAGGCCTTTTCTCTCACTACTACATATTTATTGTCCCATAACATATTTATTAGGTTTGTAATGTACTGTCTACATTGCACAGTAGATCAGCCCGATTAAGAATTGCTCTGTACATGTACGGCAATAATAAACTCCTCTACTCTCTGCTCCTATGTATCATTTATGTGAAGGGTCATGAAAATGAAATGGACTGAATGGCGCTATAATAATCATTTGATTGAATGATTGCCGCCGGAGATGTGGATCTCAGCTGCAGTCAATCTCAGCTGACAGATGAGCTACTCTTGCAGGATCTGGGTTTTGAACCAACGCCCCAGTCTTCCTCTCCGCCAGCAGCCTCCGGCTACAAATACTTCAGCCGTGCCGTAGAGACTTAAAACACGTCTCATCTCCACGGGGGACGGCAAAAAAAAGTTTCATTCCGACCGTATTTTCTCACACGGTGTCGTTTGAGAACAGACTGAAGTGTGTACAGCTAGTCTTTGCTGTAACGGCAGGTAGTTCAACAGTTCGTGTCTCAACACGTTGAAAACTTTTTGAAGCAATATCTTGGCTGAAGTACAGCACAGACACACGCACCCTTCTCCGGGGACCTGCGAGAAATGAAATCGGGCCTCGCCAGAGCGATCAAAACCGTTTTTAAGTCTTTCAAGTCGGGACACGCTGTAAAATAAATAAATCAAATCCCCCATGCAGTGAGTCAGCCGTACCCTCGGCTAAATCTGCGCCCAGTCAAATCTCTGTACATCGGGTTTTTTTTTACCACGCAGCTCAACAAACTCCGCAAATAATTCAGCTTCTTTTGGGCAGAACCAGTGAGCCGACTGACTCTTGTCCGACTCGGTTCCGAAACTGCAAAAAACACTCCAGCCTCAGAAAGTCGACGAGAGTCTGAAAAAGTAGGAACTCGGACAAAAACACACACACACACACCGGCTCCAGCCAGCTGAAGTTTTACCCACCCTGGTTCCCTACAAGAAAAGGAAACCCGGAGCCGGTCGCCTGAACGGAGAGCAGCCCGGCCACTGAGTCCCCGCGGCGGCTGGCGAGACCCGGCCACCCCGCCGGCCCCTCGCCTGTCTGCGGGTCAGCTCGCAGCGCTCTGCCCGCCGGACCCTCCCGGGCTGCCCAGCCACTCGAAACCCAGGCCTGCCCAGCGGCCTGCCGCTGCCTCTCCCCCGCACAAGCCCGGCCAGGAGGGGAGCACGCCAGAGCCGAGCCGAGCCCGGCCGGCCAGCCGCCCAGCGCCGGTCACCCCCCGGATCCCTCCCCGGGCAGCGAGTACGACCGGCCACCGCCGGAGCCCCCCAGCCGCGCCGGCACAAGCGCAGACTCACCGAGGTCGTCCATGGTTCCGAGTCTGGGTTCGGCGCCGTCAGGCGGACGGGTGCTGTGCTGTGCTTTGCTGTTCTGATCCGGGAGGGGGGGGGGGAGAGGCAGACGCCGACGTGAAGCTGTTCCAGCTGATGCCCCGCGTTGCTCGCCTGCGCGGAACCGCAAGAACTTTTCTAAGTCTGGGGAGGGGGAACGCGCTGCGCGGCCCCGCGGATAGCTAGGCAGAGGGGGGGGTCGTGGGCGCGCACTCGCACCGGCGCGGCGTGCCCGCGCTGCCCAGGCTCCTGGAGGTGCCGAATTTGGAGAGGCGAGCTTGTAATGGCGAGAGCGCAGCTGCAGACTGGCGGAAAAACTTTACCAGAGACCTCTAGTGGAGGGGAGAGGGAATTCCACGTTTCTAGAAGCAGAGATTCCCTCTCGTATCAATATTCTGGGAATGCCGAGTGCTAATGTAATAACCCCCGTCTGGTCATTACCTTGTCGCGGTGAAGGGGCGTGCGTATCTCAGGCTATGAGCTATACCGCGAAGGGCTACTCAAGACGGGACGCTCATGGCAGAGAGATTAGACTAAATAGGGTCCACTGGAGACGGTATTGGGAATCCACTCCGGTATTTCGCCAAGAAAACCCTATGGCGGCAGAGGTTAAGAGGGATAGATAGCATTACCGTAGTAATGAATATGAATTGGTAAGAGCGCAGAAAAGTTGTTGACAGACAGGCCTGGCACGCTGAAGCATATGAGGTCACGAAGAGTCGAACTGGACTGAACGACTGAACACACACAATGTCATAACAGACGTTTTAGAGCCCCTCAAAGCAGACGCGACAGAGTGAGGAATTTCTTTATCCCACGTTCAATGAAACTACTCGGCAAATGAGTTCAGAGTTCAGCAGTACCGGCTCCTGGGCAAGGGCAGTTAGCGGTCGTGTGACAATGAAGGGGTGTTGAGCAGTTACAGGGGGTGATCGTGGGGAGTGAACGTACAGCCTATGGTATCCTGGGGGGGTTCCTGTAGATCTAGGTATGGGTTGACGTCTTTTAGGTAATGTTATCTTCATTCCTAGCGGAATGTTTATATCTACTGTTTGCATATTCTTGCAAGTCTCTCTGTGTGTAAAACATAGCGGCGAGGAGGGAAAACAAAGTCCTGAGAATTCGGGTAGGAAAGTATTATCGAATCGTACAATGATGATGATGATGATGATGATGAAGTCAATGTAGGTTCACTAACACGCCGTGGACAGTCGCCCCTGTCGCGCACAGCGTCCGTTTGTGTTTGCGACGCTATTGCGCTTATGTTTTGGGGTTTCTCAGTTAGGTATTTCTGCCGCTCTCTCTCAGTTCCAAGACACGCACACAAAAAAAGCAGACGTTTGTGAAGCCCGTCCGTCCCAGCCTCTGGCCCGTCTTCCACAAGCGAGCATGATTTACCGCCTGCAAATGGATATTTTGCGACCCGGGTGGGGGGATCGTTTTCTTCAGCTGCGCTCCGAAATAGAACCGCAGAAATTAAAACTCCTTCAGCGCTAACGACTCCGTGTCCGGAGGAAGAGGGCAAAGACGAACTCAAGGCGGGGGGAGTTATTTTCTGTGAACTCTCAGGTGCTTCCCCAATTCGCCCCGGAGGCTCCCAAAGGACCTCAATCCGCAGGCGTGTCGGCTCTGCTACCACAGAGCGGTCCCCCCACCCCCCGCCACCGCCGTGTTGAAATCGGACACGGGGATGGCGCTGAAGCAAAACGCCAAGCACAAGACAGAGCACACACAAACACCCATTCAACCCTGAGCACACGGTCAGGCAGAGGCATGATATTAATACCAGAGGAGGGGAAACTGACCCACCCCAGTTTCTCTGCTTTCTGACTGGAGCCCGAACCAGGCACACACAGCCCCACGAGGACTGCTCAGTCCCACGCAGCTGGTAAAAACTGGTTCATCCTATCCCAGCCAGCAACAGACACAAGGCTCATTTTCAGTCACAAAAAGACTTGATTCTGATACGTTCAATCGTTCCTACTTGTATATTCTCCTGATGGCCTTTTTTTCCCGTTGCTGCTTGGCAAACTGACAGCGACTTCAGCAGCCAAAACTAAAGGAGAATCGCTATAGGTTCCCATTGCAATTCCCGGCATATCCTGCAGGAGATGCGTCTTTACGAGGATCAGAAGGGGAGACTACACCCAGGAACTTCAGGACCATGGGGAGGGGGAATGAGAAACCTTTAGCTGAGCTGGCCTGTTTGGTTTATATATATGTACAAATGCATTTGGCTGAACTACAGAATAGAAGGCACTGATTAGTAGAGGGAAGAGCTGACTTCAAATCAGTGAGCGTGACCTTGTGTTGGAGACAATGTCGCAGGGCAAAAGCAGAGGAGGAGCCGGGCAGGGGTCCAGGCAGTCGGATGCAGTCGGGCTCGTCTGGGACAGCCCCTCTCGCTCGCTCGCTCTCAGCAGGATAACGTTTCCAGAGCTCCATTCTCGGGGACGCAGCTCCCCGCAGAAACGCCTCCCCCAATCCCGCTGCGTCTCACCCGGGATCCGGGCACGGGAACCACCAGCTTCGCAACTCAAATGTCCGCCGAGCTGCTGAGCTCTGGTCTTGGACAAATGGCCCAAGGCAAACTGAACTGGGGGCTGGGGAGGGGGCTGTCGAACCGGCCTCCGCCAGCAGCTTTTCAAACCCGCGCCGAGCCCACGGGGAAGGAAGGGGGCTTTGCGCCCCCAGAGAGGTGGGAAAACACACACGTCCGCAGACTACAGCTCGGCAACCTGCACCCGAACTGGGACGTCCAGGACAGTGACCGCTGCCCGCCGATCGCAAGAGAGACCCTCTTCTACCTCACTGGACCCTGGCCCTCCACGACTCCGTTCCCCCGTTTGCTCTGACTCATCCTTAGTCCCGTGTTCCTCGGGAGCAGAGCAGAACAGCACGGAATGGGAGCTTCCGGGCGGGAATGGGAACGTGCGCCGCTGAAGCAGGTGAATCCGAGAGCCGAGTGCACTCTGGGGTCGGGCTGTGGGCCACGGTTTCATACAGCTGCCATTCTGCGCTTCCCCCCCGTTATCCACACCACAGCGCGCCTCTTCCCGGTCACTTCCTGTTTATATCAAGGGCATTATGGGATTCCCCATGGATCACTGCTGCTAACCCCCCTCCCCCCACCACCATGGTAGGGGCCTCTTTGGACAGGAGTGAAAATGCAGAAAGACAGTCAAAATGAACGCCACAATCTGCACAGGAGCATTCAACGGATCTAAAGCTATAATAACAGAGCAAGGTTGGCTTCCTTTACATCATTTTCTGATGAGATATGAAGAGATCTTCTATCATCGGGACACAGAGAAAGGTTTAAAGCCTGATTTGTTTAACGTTTCTGGCAAAAGTCTTGGTGTTAAATGGACAAATGTGTCATTAAGATTTCACACTCTAAAAACAGGCACTAATGCATAATACATAAAGGTATTAATACAGCATACGGCTGCAATAAATTAAGAATCCTACCCCCCCCAACCCCCTCTCCAGTCCACTAAGGCCCCGCAGGCCACCTGCCAGAAACGCAACTTATTTCCTGCTCGGGACGAACGTTCGGTTCGAAAGAATCCACAAGGGCCCTGCAGGACCGCGGGGTTCCCTGCCCAGAGACAGAGGGACAGGGCGCCCTCCCCCCACCGAGCCGCAGGCCGCAGCGGGCTGGGGCGGCTCAGAACTCCTCCGCCCGGAGCTTCCTCTCCTCCTGCTCGGTCAGCGGCTGGCGGGCCAGGAGCTTCTCGTGCAGCCTGTGGTGCTTCCCGATGCCCAGCTTGGGCAGGCCGCGGTTCAGGCCCTCCAGCAGGACGCAGGCCTTGCACAGCCGCTGGCTGGAGATGTACCCGCAGCGGGCGCAGGTGCCCTGCACCGGCATCCTCACGTCCTCCTTCACGGACAGGTTCTCGCCCGAGTGGATGACGTCCACGATGGCGCTGGGCCGCACCGACTCCAGGTCCTTCAGGAAGGCGCGGGCGTGGCCGCGGTAGGCGTTGGGCGAGTACACGCACTCGGTGGAGAAGTAGTCGAGCTTCTTGAAGTAGGCGTAGAGCACGATCTCCTTCTCGTAGGCGTACTTGAGGGGCTTGCAGCGCGGGATGGCGCCCTCGCTGCCCGTCGTGATGGCCGTGCAGCGGCGCAGGCGGGCGATGTCGCCGCGCAGGAAGTTCATCAGGACGGTCTCCGCCACGTCATCCGCGTTGTGTCCTGGAGGGGGGGACAGGGGTCAGGCAGGCAGCTGAAACAGCCCTAGCAAGGCTCCCAGGCAGCAAACAGATCCTCACCATCCCAGATCTCCTCTGCAGCCTGACACCGCACGGCCCAGTTATTTCTGTTAATTGACCCTACTTATGTTTACAATCTAAATAAACCCTCACCTGACAGCCTCATTTCCTTCTAAGCCTCTGTATTAATTTGCAAGTTTTGACTTCACACCACCTGAGTGTCATCTCTGCCTCCCCCCTGCTCCTGCCTCCTCTCCACTCCCGGCTTTTGCTCTCCCCTGCTTTATCAGCTGCTGACTTTCCTCTCTCTCTCACACTCGAAGAAGGCTCCACAGCTGAAACATTGTGTTTCTTTTCTTCTCTTTACAGCATGGAATAAACCTTTTCTTGTGCTTGTCCTTTGCAGCCTACACATGCTGATGCATCTAACTACATGAACTACCTCAATCTAAATCCAGTCTACACAGCGTTTTTCCTCCACATCTACCATGACTCAACTAACCAACTGATCCTTAAACTTGCAGCCGACACACTTTCGTTAGGGATGCACCATCTCCTGACGCCAGTGACTCTCCACACTCTCTCTCGAACCAGCAGAGTGACAATGTCCCGAGCCCCAATTCTGCAGGGCTGGTACTCGACCCGAGCGACCTCAGCCCCCCACCTCTCACACCACATTTTCCTATCTCTGCAGCGCTGGTAAGGCAAAGCTGAAGGTTTTGCCAGCAGCCATATCACCCTGCAACTCAACACCAGCAGCCCACTGAAGCCCAGCAGGGTGAGCCTCGCCAGTACCTGGAGGGGAGACTCCTGGGAAAGCTAAGGCTGCTGCTGGAAGAGGTGTTAGTGGGGCCATTAGGGAGCACTTATCCTGCTGTCTGTGTGGGTCCTAATGACCCAGTATAGTGACAGGAACACTATACTATAAAAAAGGTGTAGTCTTTTGGATGAGACGTTAAACCGAGGTCCTGACTCTCTGTGGTCATTCAAAATCCCAGGGTGTTTCTCGAAAAGAGTAGGGGTGTTGCCCCGGCATCCTGGCCAAATTTCCCCCTGGCCTTTACCAGTCATGGCCTCCTAATAATCCCCATCTCTGAACTGGCTTCATCACTCTGCTCTCCTCCCCACTGAGGGCTGGTGTGTGGGGAGCGGACTGGTGCATCACCCAGGTGGGGCTGCACACTGGTGGTGGTGGAGGGGATCCCCATTACCTGTGAGGCACTTTGAGTAGAGTGCCTAGAAAAGCGCTATATGTGTAAGGAATTATCAATTATTATTATTTCTACTACTATTTGCTGACGTGGCTTTTGCATGAAGAGCAAGAGCTTCCAGGCTGCGCTGAAACCTTGAGTTCTTCCATTTCTACTGCCTCCTGATGACCCTATTCTGCAAATCTGGCATCAAGGGACAAACCATTGAATTTACCAATCATGGCCTCCTAATAATCCCCATCTATGAATTGGCTTCATTACTCTGCTCCCCTCCCTACTAATAGCTGGTGTGTGGTGAGCATTCTGGTGCACTATGACTTCCATTGCATCATCCAGGTGGGGCTGCACACTGGTGGTGGTGGAAGGGATCCCCATTACCTGTAAAGCGCTTTGAGTGGAGTGTCCAGAAAAGTGCTATATAAGTGTAAGGAATTGTTATTATTAAAAACCCAGCCCACCTGTGCAGATCTTGTCCACTCCTAGCATCATGGCTCCCCTGTCGAGGGCCTGCCGGCGGAAGACCCCGCAGAAGGTGCAGTTGTTCTTCAGCCCCACCTGCTTCACGATGGCGTCCATGGTCCAGCCGTACAGCTCCTCGTAGGACACGATCTTGAGGGGCAGGTCGTACTGCTGCTGGTTCCTCTTCACCGTCTCCAGGGAGTCGTCGCGGTAACCGGTGATGCCCTCGTCCACCGACAGCAGGATGAGGTTGAGGCCGTAGCCGTGGCGCTCGTTCAGCACCTTCAGGACGTGCGCCAGGACGGTGGAGTCCTTGCCCCCCGACGCCCCGATGCCGACGGTCTCCCCGGGGCGGAAGAGCCGGGCCGAGGCGATGGTCTGGTGCACCTCCTCCTCGAACGCCCAGAAGAAGCAGGGGCGGCACAGCGAGTGGCCCGTCTTCGGGCGCCTGAGGACCGCCGAGCTCTTCTGGCAGTGGCTGCAGGGAACGGGCATGGTGGAGGCTGGACCAGCTGCAGAGCAAGCGGGCAAAAAAAAACATGAACAAGTAACCCGTCAGTATTTCTTAAGCGACCCTGTTGTTTAATTCACTGAGGCTGCTGATCCTGTGTCACAAATGTCTGCTTAATGAAGCATCCCAGGGTCACTACAGGACTGTCCCATCCTGGTCCTGCAGGGCTCCTGGCTCTTTGCTCCAGCCGGGCTCTTGGTTTCATAGGTGTGTGCAGAAACACGGTCCAACCATCTGCTTGACGTTAGTCTCTCCTGAAACTGAGTCCTCAGCCTGGAGAAATAGCCCATGTGTACTACTTCCAAGAAATGTTGCTCCAGAACTCCTGTCTCAGAGACTACCCCTGTACTGGACTCTCCATTAATAATGAGCTGACAGGTGGGAACAGCATGGTCAGTGCTTTGCCTTTCGTCGAAAAAAACCTCAATAACTATTTCATTTGTAAGAGACTCAGCGTCCTTTAGTTCTGAAGTAACACCTGAATAATAAATAAATGAATTAATAAATACATTCCTTACACTTCTATAGCGCTTTTCCCGACACTCCACTCAAAGTGCTTTACAGATAATGGGGAATCCCCTCACACCTTATATTCTTCCTAAACACCGATTACAAGCACTCTCTGTAATATATAGACCTAATGATTTAATTCAACACTGTCAGGACTTCTGAAACCCGTCTCCTGGCAAAGGAGTTTTCTACTTCTCAAGATGGGATCAGGTGGAAATGAATTTAAAACGAGCAGTTTCATGAAGAGCTCAATAAGCATAATTAGGGGATCTCGAATCAAAAGCAAACGAGACAGGGATTCTCAAGTACCAACTTTGAAAGTCTGATATCAAGGCTGAAATTATATATTACAATTGCAATTAAAACTGCACAGTTTTAATCGACATTAACTGGTGTATTGTAAATCTTTAAAAAAACAACAGAACTTTTACTTTCAACATATATATATATCGAGGATACTTTTATATTACAGCGAACGTAATACATTCTTTTAAGGTTATTATTTAAAAAAACGTTTGTTTTTAACTCTGCGGGATACGCCAAGCTACCAACAATACCTGAGAAGGTGACTTCTTCAAGAAGGATCACGATATGAAAAATCACACACTGAACTTCACAACAAATCCAGCAGCTCTCCCCACATCACAACTCCGAGCCACAGGACGCCGCCATCTTGGAGTAGTACTACTGCCCAAGTCAACTTCCTCTTCCGGAGCAAAAGTCACGTGTAATTACACGGCTATTCATTCGCTAAAACAGGCGCCTTTATCGGAGTGTCTTACAAAATAGAACATTTTTATTAAATAAGGACTAAATAAGAAAAACAAAATGGAAGTCCATCTGAAACAAAATGGGAATATGTCAAACGTCCCGTTACCTCGGGTTCCAAGTTTACACTCAATAAGAGCAATTAGCAACGTGCCCTATATAACTAGTCTGAGAGCAACAGACATGAATGTGAGGGTATGTGATACATGCTTAAGTATTACATAAAATTAAAAACCTTATATATAAAACATAGTTGCATAAAAAGTATTTTACATTTTAAGGTGTGTGTGTGGGGGGGTTGTATTTGAGTTGTTGCACAAAAGCGTACTCGGGGTTTAGTCATTCGGTTTACTAGTGGGTTTGGGGAGGGTTCTTCCTCTTTCCCTCCAACGAGTGATATCTGTTCATACACAGCAATGCTCCTGTCGTCCTTATCGCGTTCGTTTTTCATTTACACAGAACACACTTATTGCTTTCCGCATGTCGGGACATCACTGCACGGTCTTGTATGGGCAAGACCTCCCCGTCCTGCAAACGGGAGCGCCTCCAATCACAGCTCGTCGCTTCTCATGTTGTGTTCAATCACAGCAGAGGGTTTTAACCGCACCCACACACCTTCCCCTATCCCAATTGGGGCGTCTGTATTCAGGAATCGGGGCGGGACAGGAAATGACGCACTGGCACTGGTTGCTTGTGACGTCACTGCACTGTCCTGTATTGACAGGCGGCGAATAAATAAACACTGTATTTATGAAGTCAATGAAGGCTGCCGGTGCATTTCATGTTAAGCGTAATTGATGGTTAAGGTATGTTAAACTTACGATCTTTTACTGTTGGATACTTCTTTAGTCACTTCGTGATTGCTTCTATTATATATATATCCATATATAACAGCACATTTGTTGCATAACTCTACCCCTGACCTTAACGTTCACCTGTGGGCAGCAGATGTTTCTACTCGAAGGTTTGAGAGTGACCGTTAGCAGTTAACGTTAGCAATATCGTAAATGCGTCACCAGCGAAACTATTTCTTATATAGTTTAAGTAGGGAGCTGCGCAGTCTGCAAAGGAACAAGTAAAGTTTTACTCCCTGCTGAAAAGAGAAGAAAAGAAAAGTCTTTTTCCTGTTGAAAGGACAAGAGACGGCGTTTCGGCTGTGGAGTCTTCTTCAGGTGTGAGCTACACCTTCTTCAGGGGTGAAGAAGGCTCCACATCCGAAATGCTGTCTCTTGTCCTTTCAACAGGGATAAGACTCCCAGTTCCTTTGCAGCCTGTGGATGCTGACGCAGCTCCCCCACTTGAACTTGTCCGCACTCTGGCTGCCATCGCATCATTCCCTGGAGGGGATCCCCGTTACCTGTAAAGCGCTTTGAGCGAAGTGTCCAGAAAAGTGCTATTTAAGTGTAAGGAATTATTATTCTGAAGTAATCATCTGGTCAGAATGGAGTGGTAGGTGTCTCTGGGACATCCCTGTCGAGCTGTTCCTCATGCTGCCCCAGCGTGTTTGCTGCTGGGAGGGGTTTTGAAAGGTGCTCTTCACTGGTTTGCGCTGTCCCTGCTTTGTCCTGCAGATGGCGCTCCTGTCCCTGTTGCCCGCGGCGACAGG